ATCTCATTGACCAAGTCATTCCAAGTCCTCATCTTTCTTCTCATCTGGCTCAAGAGTTCCACGAATGGATGGGGAGCCCCTCAAGGCCATACTGGCAGCAGCTGCAGATAAAACACACAGATGTACCATTGTCAGTATAGTCACAACGGAAAGTGAAAGTTAAGATTCAGAATGGTTCTTTGCTTCCCTTATTGACACTTCTACTTCAGAGTGTTCAGAGTAGCACCCGTGTTAGTCTGTATTCGCAAAAAGAAAAGGAGTACTTGTGGCACCTTAGAGACTAACCAATTTATTTGAGCATAAGCTTTCGTGAGCTACAGCTCAAATATGCTCAAATAAATTGGTTAGTCTCTAAGGTGCCACAAGTACTCCTTTTCTTTTTACTTCAGAGTGTGTGTGCATGGCACCACTCACAGCACCAGCCCTGGTGAATATGGCCCACCAAGGGTGAGGGAAATGCTTGTTTGCATGAAACTAGTAGTATGGGGCACTGACACTGGATACTGGTGGCTCCATTTTCCACGGGGGCTGGTGATTTTAGCTGATACCCTACTGCTGAGAGTAACAAAAGCACAGAGATCACAGCTGCTGCTGAAATCCCAAAGCTGTGTGTGGCCATATGCTACTAGCCTGTGAACTGCAATGGTGCATGCCAAAGTTATCGCTCACAGAGGATGAAATAAGGTTGCCATCCCTATAAACCTTTGGGAGAAGATTGCAGAGTGCCTCCATGGAAGTTTCTTCAAGATATCTTAGAAGGATTCAAGGGACATCCAATCAGGAAAAGGCATTTCAAAAATTCATGGGGCTTTAAGAGTGGGGGGACCTTTCTGTCTCCGTGACCCCTGAGCAGTGGTGTTCACAGTTGTGACCAGAGCAGTCAGTGTCAGACATTGTGGGATAGCGGCTGGAGGACTGTTAGGGTTGACATAAGTAACACAGTGTCTACACTCACACGGCATCAACCTCAGTACACTAACCATGGCCCAACGCTGCTCAGGGCGGTCGTGTTACTTCTCACTGTAACAGGGCACTTACAGCGGTGGAAGACAAATTTCAGTGCAGACCATGCACAACTAAGTCGACTCAAGGTGACTTATGTTGACCTAACTTTGTAGTGTGGACCAGGCCTTATTGTTTTAAGTCTTTCGTCTCATGTATTTATTATTCTATGACATAGTAGAGTCATCTATAATATCCAGCCAAATTGTAACATTCTTATAGTTAAATAGATAAATTGGCCATTCACATGGACTCACAAACAAAATGTGTCCAACTCCTATGAAGATATGCAACCTTTTGTTGCAGTTTGTCTGAGTTAGGTGCAGACCCATAGAAAGTTTTCTGCTTCCTTTGATTTTCTAAAGGTCACTGTAATTTTTCCTTTCAAATGTTTTTTTTCAATATTGCAGGCTCATTCCTCACCACTGTTTGTTAGTCTCTGGGAATTGTTTGCTTTTCTTTTGTAGCTGCACAAAGTGATTTAAAAATAAAAACACATTTGCCTTATATACTAGCCCATTTATCTTTCTGATCTCTTCTGTAGATTTTATTTTGTTTATGAAATTGGCAATTTTCATGTCCACTCTTGGCTTTTCTGCATTATTCAGTTGGGGAAAAAATCAGAGCCCTATTAGTCTGATCAATTTCACTTTTAGTTCATTGAGTTTCACTTCTATTTCATACAGATTATCTGCTGTACCTGAGAATGCTCCTTTCTCCTCTACAAACATATTTTACATATGTTAGGTCAACAGTTTCTGTACTAGGGATCCATTCAACATTTCGTTCATATTCTCCAACTTCCCTTTCCCCTGTAGCAAACAGTCTAACTCTCAGATGATTAGTATTATTTGTATTATGGTAGCACCTTGGAGCCCTAGTCATAGATCAAGACCTCATTGTACTAGGAGCTGAACTAATTCAACCTCTGTCATCTGGGTAAACCTTTCTAATAAAATCATATAAATTTCCCATTCACTTTGTGGTCTTCTATATTAGAGCTATATGGGAATTTTGCTGTGTGTGGGTTGTGTTCTTCGTTGTGGTGGTGGTTTGTTTAGGAAACCGCTTTTCTTTGGAAACATACGTGTGTGCAGTTTTCCTTGTATTGTATGACCAGAGTTCCTCTAATAAAATTATTTAGCAAATTAAAATGAATTTCTACTTTGAGTAGAGACTGTAAAGACGGCATCAGAGGGTTCCATCAAAATAGCTGTGTTTTCATATCAAATACACTTTGTTTTATATACTGCATATATATATATAGAGAGAGAGAGTGAACTAATAAATTGCCAACCCTGGAAACTAAACCTGGGCTCTGAGGGTATGTCTACACTATGGAATAAGGTTGAATTTATAGAAGTCGGTTTTTTAGAAATCGGTTTTATATATTCGAGTGTGTGTGTCCCCACAGAAAATGCTCTAAGTGCATTAAGTGCATTAACTCGGCGGAGCGCTTCCACAGTACCGAGGCTAGAGTTGACTTCCGGAGCGTTGCACTGTGGGTAGCTATCCAACAGTTCCCGCAGTCTCCGCTGCCCATTGGAATTCTGGGTTGAGATCCCAATGCCTGATGGGGCTAAAACATTGTCGCGGGTGGTTCTGGGTACATATCGTCAGGCCCCCGTTCCCTCCCTTCCTCCGTGAAAGCAAGGGCAGACAATCATTTCGCGCCTTTTTTCCTGAGTTACCTGTGCAGACGCCATACCACGGCAAGCATGGAGCCCGCTCAGGTAACCGTCACCCTATGTCTCCTGGGTGCTGGCAGACGCGGTACGGCATTGCTACACAGTAGCAGCAACCCCTTGCCTTGTGGCAGCAGATGGTACAGTACGACTGGTAGCCGTCATCGTCATGTCCGAGGTGCTCCTGGCCACGTCGGCTGGGAGCGCCTGGGCAGACATGGGCGCAGGGACTAAATTTGGAGTGACTTGACCAGGTCATTCTCTTTAGTCCTGCAGTCAGTCCTATTGAACCGTCTTATGGTGAGCGGGCAGGCGATATGGACTGCTAGCAGTCGTACTGTACCATCATGAGATGTGGATGGCATGCAGTCCTTCTGCACCGTCTGCTGCCAGCCAGAGATGTAAAAGATAGATGGAGTGGATCAAAACAAGAAATAGACCAGATTTGTTTTGTACTCATTTGCTTCCCCCCCTCCCCTGTCTAGGGGACTCATTCTTCTAGGTCACACTGCAGTCACTCACAGAGAAGGTGCAGCGAGGTAAATCTAGCCATGTATCAATCAGAGGCCAGGCTAACCTTCTTGTTCCAATAAGGACAATAACTTAGGTGCACCATTTCTTATTGGAACCCTCCGTGAAGTCCTGCCTGAAATACTCCTTGATGTAAAGACACCCCCTTTGTTGATTTTAGCTCCCTGAAGCCAACCCTGTAAGCCGTGTCGTCAGTCGCCCCTCCCTCCGTCAGAGCAACGGCAGACAATCGTTCCGCGCCTTTTTTCTGTGCGGACGCCATATCAAGGCAAGCATGGAGGCCGCTCAGCTCACTTTGGCAATTAGGAGCACATTAAACACCACACGCATTATCCAGCAGTATATGCAGCACCAGAACCTGGCAAAGCGATACCGGGCGAGGAGGCGACGTCAGCACGGTCACGTGAGTGATCAGGACATGGACACAGATTTCTCTGAAAGCATGGGCCCTGCCAATGCATGCATCATGATGCTAATGGGGCAGGTTCATGCTGTGGAACGCCGATTCTGGGCTCGGGAAACAAGCACAGACTGGTGGGACTGCATAGTGTTGCAGGTCTGGGACGATTCCCAGTGGCTGCGAAACTTTCGCATGTGTAAGGGTACTTTCATGGAACTTTGTGACTTGCTTTCCCCTGCCCTGAGGTGCATGAATACCAAGATGAGAGCAGCCCTCACAGTTGAGAAGCGAGTGGCGATACCCTGTGGAAGCTTGCAACGCCAGACAGCTACCGGTCAGTTGGGAATCAATTTGGAGTAGGCAAATCTACTGTGGGGGCTGCTGTGATGCAAGTAGCCCACCCAATCAAAGATCTGCTGATATCAAGGGTAGTTACCCTGGGAAATGTGCAGGTCATAGTGGATGGCTTTGCTGCAATGGGATTCCCTAACTGTGGTGGGGCTATAGACGGAACCCATATCCCTATCTTGGCACCGGAGCACCAAGCCGCTGAGTACATAAACCGCAAGGGGTACTTTTCGATAGTGCTGCAAGCTCTGGTGGATCACAAGGGACGTTTCACCAACATCAACGTGGGATGGCCAGGAAAGGTGCATGATGCTCGCATCTTCAGGAACTCTGGTCTGTTTCAAAAGCTGCAGGAAGGGACTTTATTCCCAGACCAGAAAATAACTGTTGGGGATGTTGAAATGCCTATATGTATCCTTGGGGACCCAGCCTACCCCTTAATGCCATGGCTCATGAAGCCGTACACAGGCAGACTGGACAGTAGTCAGGAGCTGTTCAACTACAGGCTGAGCAAGTGCAGAATGGTGGTAGAATGTGCATTTGGACGTTTAAAGGTGCGCTGGCGTAGTTTACTGACTCGCTTAGACCTCAGCAAAACCAATATTCCCACTGTTATTACTGCTTGCTGTGTGCTCCACAATATCTGTGAGAGTAAGGGGGAGACGTTTATGGCGGGGTGGGATGTTGAGGCAAATCGCCTGGCTGCTGGTTACGCACAGCCAGACACCAGGGCAGTTAGAAGAGCACAGGAGGGCGCGGTACGCATCAGAGAAGCTTTGAAAACCAGTTTCATGACTGGCCAGGCTACGGTGTGAAAGTTCTGTTTGTTTCTCCTTGATGAAACCCCCCGCCCCTTGGTTCACTCTACTTCCCTGTAAGCTAACCACCCGCCCCTCCTCCCTTCAATCACCGCTTGCAGAGGCAATAAAGTCATTGTTGCTTCACATTCATGCATTCTTTATTCATTCATCACACAAATAGGGGGATGACTACCAAGGTAGCCCAGTAAGGGTGGTGGAGGAGGGAAGGAAAATGCCACACAGCACTTTAAGCACAGCACTTTAAGAGTTTACAACTTTAAAATTTATTGAATGACAGCCTTCTTTTTTTTGGGCAATCCTCTGTGGTGGAGTGGCTGGTTGGCCGGAGGCCCCCCCACCGCGTTCTTGGGCGTCTGGGTGTGGAGGCTATGGAACTTGGGGAGGAGGGCGGTTGGTTACAGAGGGGCTGCAGTGGCAGTCTGTGCTCCAGCTGCCTTTGCTGCAGCTCAACCATACACTGGAGCATACTGGTTTGGTCCTGCAGCAGCCTCAGCATTGAATCCTGCCTCCTCTCATCACGCTGCCGCCACATTTGAGCTTCAGCCCTCTCTTCAGCCCGCCACTTACTCTCTTCAGCCCGCCACTTACTCTCTTCAGCCCGCCACCTCTCCTCCCGGTCATTTTGTGCTTTCCTGCACTCTGACATTATTTGCCTCCACGCATTCGTCTGTGCTCTGTCAGTGTGGGAGGACAGCATGAGCTTGGAGAACATTTCATCGCGAGTGCGTTTTTTTTTCTTTCTAAGCTTCACTAGCCTCTGGGAAGGAGAAGATCCTGTGATCATTGAAACACATGCAGCTGGTGGAGAAAAAAAAAGGGACAGCGGTATTTAAAAAGACACATTTTATAAAACAGTGGCTACACTCTTTCAGCGTAAACCTTGCTGTTAACATTACATACATAGCACATGTGCTTTCATTACAAGGTCGCATTTTGCCTCCTCCCACCGCGTGACTACCCCCTCAACCTTCCCCCCTCACTGTGGCTAACAGCGGGGAACATTTCTGTTTAGCCACAGGCAAACAGCCCAGCAGGAATGGGCTCCTCTGAGTGTCCCCTGAAGAAAAGCACTCTATTTCAACCAGGTGACCATGAATTATATCTCACTCTCCTGAGGATAACACAGAGAGATAAAGAACGGATGTTGTTTGAATGCCAGCAAACATACACTGCAATGCTTTGTTGTACAATGATTCCCGAGTACGTGTTACTGGCCTGGAGTGGTAAAGTGTCCTACCATGAAGGACGCAATAAGGCTGCCCTCCCCAGAAACCTTTTGCAAAGGCTTTAGGACTACATCTAGGAGAACCGCAAATGCCAGGGCAAAGTAATCCTTTCACATACTTGCTTTTAAACCATGTATAGTATTTTAAAAGGTACACTCACCAGAGGTCCCTTCTCCGCCTGCTGGGTCCAGGAGGCAGCCTTGGGTGGGTTCGGGGGGTACTGGCTCCAGGTCTAGGGTGAGAAACAGTTCCTGGCTGTCAGGAAAATCGGTTTCTCCGCTTGCTTGCTGTGAGCTATCTACAACCTCATCATCATCATCATCTTCTTCGTCCCCAAAACCTGCTTCCGTATTGCCTCCATCTCCATTGAAGGAGTCAAACAACACGGCTGGGGTAGTGGTGGCTGAACCCCCTAAAATGGCATGCAGCTCATCATAGAAGCGGCATGCTTGGGGCTCTGACCCAGAGCGGCTGTTCGCCTCTCTGGTTTTCTGGTAGGCTTGCCTCAGCTCCTTCAGTTTCACGCGGCACTGCTTCGGGTCCCTGTTATGGCCTCTGTCCTTCATGCCCTGGGAGATTTTCACAAAGGTTTTGGCATTTCGAAAACTGGAACGGAGTTCTGATAGCACGGATTCCTCTCCCCAAACAGTGATCAGATCCCGTACCTTCCGTTCGGTCCATGCTGGAGCTCTTTTGCGATTCTGGGACTCCATCATGGTCACCTGTGCTGATGAGCTCTGCATGGTCACCTGCAGCTTGCCACGCTGGTCAAACAGGAAATGAGATTCAAAAGTTCGCGGTTCTTTTCCTGTCTACCTGGCCAGTGCATCTGAGTTGAGAGTACTGTCCAGAGCGGTCGTAATGGAGCACTCTGGGATAGCTCCCGGAGGCCAATACCATCGAATTGTGTCCACAGTACCCCAAATTCGAGCCGGCAACGTCGATTTAAGTGCTACTCCACTTGTCAGGGGTGGAGTAAGGAAATCGATTTTAAGAGCCCTTTAAGTCAAAATAAAGGGCTTCATTGTGTGGACCGGTGCAGGTTTACATCGATTTAATGCTGCTAAATTCGACCTAAAGTCCTAGTGTAGACCAGGGCTGAGAGTCAAGCTGGGATCTTTCCCTTCTTTTTCATCATTGCCAGGAATGATGATGCCAGAAGGCTTTGCAGGCTAAATCAGGCCCTCACTCATACATGTGAGCCCTATTACTTCTACTATTACAGTGGGATTGCACAGATATAACTGCTTGGATCTTAGGGCCTGTCTACATGGGGAATCGAGTGCAGAACAAGGGAGCGTGTGAATTTAAAACACACTAGCTACCTCCACTAACTTTCTGTGACTGTGGAATAAGAGTGTTCCCATGGGAAGTTAGTGCAGAACAGCTAGTGTGCATTAGTAAATCCACACTAGCTATTCTGGGCTTTTTCCCCATGTAGACACACCCTCACTTGTTAACTAAGAGCATGTCTACATTGCACACTCACTAACAGCAGAGTGTAGAGAACATACACTGCACACACTCCTAGCACAGATATAAGTAGCTGTGTAGACGGTGAGGCACTGCTTAGGTGAGTAAGGACATTCCCGAACCTTAGGTATGTACACTACCCGGCTCTCTACATGCCCAAGCAGTGCTGCTAATTTTAGCAGTATGGTGTCCTGCTGCCTCCCCATTGCTGGAGCCTTTCCCTGCTGCAGGGAAAGGCCACAGTAGCAGGAATAGGCTCTGGCATGGGGGACACAGTGAGGAAATGATCTGGTAGCTCCCTGAAGTGGGGAAAAGCTGCAGCGGCAGGGAGTTGCCAGATCCTTTCCTTGCCACCAGGAAAGATTGTGACTGCAGGGAAAGGCTCTGGCAGCGGGGAAAGACTCCAGCAGCTCCCTGCTGCTGGAGCCTCCCTCTGGTGCCTCCTCTGTGCCAGAGCCTCTAACTGCTGTGTGTAGCTGCCTGCTTTTTCACGGTGGCATGTAACTACACATACATTGGTGAGCTAGAGCTCTACTAGACCCCTTCTCCAATGGTTCTGGGTGGCAGCTGCAGTCTGAGCACAGTCTGGGGCCCCACAATCACACAATCAAGACCTGTGATCCCTTCTGTGGCTCTCATACAGGCCACTTGCACCCCCACACGCTTCCCAAAATATTTAAATTATTTAGTTTAAAAATAAAATAAGAATTTCAGCCAGCAGTAAATGTGGAAGGAGGAAGACTGGTCTTGTGGACAGGGGCAGTGGACTGGGACTCAGGAAACCTGGCTTTTATTCCCAGCTCTGCCACAGATTTCCTGTATGATCTTGAAGCTAATCTACCCAGTTCTCCAGTTCTAAAATGGGGCTCGGACTCCTCATAGTGGTGCTGCAGGGATAACATCCAATAATGATTGTGCACCACTCAGGTACTATGGTCAGAGCACTTATGGGGATTATTTATTACTGCTTCACTCCCCTGCTGGTATGGATGGATGTGGGGGAGGGGGGGGTCTTACGAAAATTGTTCCCTGCTGGAAGAGAAGATATAGCTTCCCAGAGGCACCTCATAGGTGTTTCAAATTCCCTGCAACTGAAAGAGGTAAAGAATGGCCCTGCCATCACATCCAAGAGTGAAGAATGCTGGTTCTCTTCCCAGGAAGGCCCTGTCTTGTTACAGTGTTGCTTTCAGAAGGCTTTGTGGTATTGTGATTCCAATGATAACACTTCGTTCTTATGCCGCATGTTTCATCCTTACATCTCAAAGTACTCTACAGTGGGAGGCCAATATCACTGTCCCCATTATAACGTTTGGCTTGCCCAGGGTCACACAGCAAGTTGATGGTAGATCTGGGAACAAAACCAGGAATCCTTACTCCCTGTTCGGTGTCCTAGCCACTGGACTACACTGTCTCCTGCTAAGAAATTATGCCAAAGACATAGTTCAGAATGAGGATAATAATATAAAATACTCCTATTTTCTGTCCAACATTTTTTTCCCTAAAATCAACTTATCTTGCAATACATTTAAACTTATTGTGTGAAATCCTTACCCCTCACTGAAGTCAATGACAAAATTCCCATTGACTTCAATGGAGCCAGGATTTTACTTATCATATATGTAAGATGTGTGTATGCAATACATTTCTCTTCTCTTTTGTTACAGCTTTATTTCATAGGCTTTTCCTTTGCTGCTTATACACATAATCATTTCTCTTTTTGTGACCATGCCTGTGCTTAATAGTCTTGGTTCAGTCAGTTTAGTGGATCATTAATTAACACTGATTACTCTGCTCTCATTAAAACTCAGATGGCATCACGAATTACCAACATTAATAATAAAACAATCACTTTCCATTGCCTTAAAATGTCTGAAAGAAACATTTTTTCCTATCCTATTAAATTTTATTATAACAAAGGATACAGAATTTAACAGATAAAACTACTTTATTAGGATTTTTATTATGTCCTCAAGCAGTGAATGTCTTCAAACTTTCAATAGGAGAAAAGAGAGCATGCATCTGAGACTTTAAAATATATAGTTTGACATTTCATTTAATTGTTAACAAATTAAAGGAAAAAATCAATTGAATGTTTTCCCAATATAGCTTCTTTGCTAGGGATACTGGGTCAAACTCTGCTCTTGTTTATACGAATGGATATCTGGAGTAACTGCTGCAAAGTCAATACAAATTTACGTTCATGTAACTGAAATGAAAATATGGGCCACTTTTTATGCAAATTAGTACATAAGCTAGGATTTCTTGAAGGGTATGTGGTAAACCTAGGACAAACAGCTACAAAAGGGGGGTAGTAATTAGTCCCAGGGGATTAAAATGCCCCTCCCTATCCACTGAGGAGAGAGAACCATGGGGCAATAAGGTTCAGCTGGAAAAGGGGTTGGTAGGGAACCAATTATGTTCAGCTGACTCCAACTACTTGGGACCTTTCAAAACCCTCCCCTGGGTGATAGGAGGGGGGAGTAGGGAAGCTGCCAGTAGGCTGTTTGAAGCAAGACACCAGACCTTCCCAGTAGAGAAGCTGCACTCACTCCCCAGAAGGGAAGGAAAACAAGCACAAGGGTCTGACTGAAGAGAGGAGTAGCAGGACCCTGTGCCACCTATAAGGATTTGCCTTGCTCCAAACCTGAGTCTCGAAGGCTAAAAAGGACTGAGGCAAACAAGGTATTTTGCCACAGGTATATGAAGTGAGCTGTAGCTCACGAAAGCTTATGCTCAAATAAATTGGTTAGTCTCTAAGGTGCCACAAGTAATCCTTTTCTTTTAGTGAATACAGACTAACACGGCTGCTACTCTGAAACCTTCACAGTACAAAGAATGAAACAGATCTGGATATAACAAATATTTATAAAGAAACAAGTTAATAATCATAATTATATTTATTACTATAGAATGCAGATATGTAAAGCACCATAGAAGTTAGAAGCTGAAAAATTCATTACTGTGTTGCATTACATGTTTCATTTTACAAGAAGCTGCTCTTGAGTGGCTGTAATTGAGATTACTAATTGGAAAGTTCAGAAGCTTTATACATTCGGGTCACTTGCTCTTTTGTTGAAGATATTATTAAATGTCCAGTAACTTTCAAAAAGGATGGCAATCCACTTTTAATTAGTTTTTGCTTAAATAAGGATTTTGATAATAGTAGTGTTACACATATCAATGGCTTATAGGCTGAAATCTGATACACAAAATGAAAGCTTTCAGAGTAGCAGCCATGTTAGTCTGTATTCGCAAAAAGAAAAGGGAGTATCTGTGGCACCTTAGAGACTAACAAATTTAAAATTGTTATTCTTTAAGGTGCCACAGGTACTCCCTTTTTCTTTTTGAAAATGAAAGCTGTTGTCTAGGCTTCACAGATGATGGGTTTTCAGACTGCGAAACAACCAGTTTACTAGCCACAGGCTACTGTTACATTTGTGAAAGAGGAACACACTTCTCTCCATTTTCAGCTGGATTATCTCAACTTTCCTCTCACTAAATAATGCTTTACTATGTGTATAGACCAATGTTCCCTCTAATTTTTGACAGGCCATGTGTGTGAAAAATTTCTCCTGTGCAAATTTTTGACAGGCTGTGTGTGCAAAAAGAATTTTCTGTGCAAATTTTTGTGTGTGGTGTTTCACCATGTGCGTGGGGTTTAGGATCTGTGTGCACGTGCACAGCTTAGAAGGAGCAGTGGTATAGACCTGTTGAAATCAGTGGGATTTCATGTATTTTAAGGTACTGCTCTGTACAAGGAAGGGTGGCAAAAACTGTCCCTTTGTGACCTAGTTGATATTGAAGTATGTCTAATCTATAGAGATATTAGGATAATAGGAGCCTGTGTTGGAGGCAAGTGGACAGCTAAAAAGAAAAGGGTTAAGTTTAAATAAATAGAAATTATTCTAGATTCAGAATCCCTGGAAATAAAAGGTTTTGTAAGAAAGTTTTGTTGCTAGGAGACTATAACCAGAAACTATAAGGCTACATTGTTTTTATTTAAAAATATCTTCAGTCAAGGTACTTAATAGAAAAGATAATAACACATATACATAAAACTGATTTTATTGTTTTGGTCATTAAAGACCAGGCAAAATTTATAATGTATATGTTGAAAAGTGAAAGTCCTTGTACAAGGCGCAACCAAAGCATGGATCATAAGAACTTAATTGCCTGGCCAGATGCA